GCTATACTTCGAAAAGTATGAAAATTTTATATAAGTACTAACATATGTCTACTTACCTACTATAACTATAAAAAACATCTGAACAATTCTTGTGCAGAGCGTAAAACATGTACAATACATCTAGCCACCACAACCGTGTGTATAACAAGGCAATGAAAAATATGTAAAAAGCGAAGATACCATAGGTTGCCATGAATACAAAGCAGAAGATACTGAGCGTTTCAATACGACTTTTAAAGGAAACGTTCAAAGGTGCCCATTTGATATTACTAAACATCTTGTTGATCTGAAAATATGAGTATTAAAAAATATAAGAAATTTTGATTTATTATAGAGGAAACACGAACAATAGTTCTCTGTAAAATGCCTTACTTTGCTTCTTGAAATATCAATGAAAAACACTACACGAATAAGCCGGTGCAACAGATACCTACATAAAATAAGTGTGATATTTGTGTGTCAGACACGTATACTTAAATTCAAAAGTGATAAAAATCTAAGTAACGCTGTTTGTCTCCATATAGGTTTTCCCTAATTAGGATACACTTGATTTTCCCGTTATATTTAAATATAAAACTATTTTCTGTATCCTTTTCAAAACAACAATAAAAAAGATAAGAGAATTATTGACAAAAAAAATAATACTAAGATCTATTTTCTGTGCTCTGTGCGGAAATCGGGCGCCTTTTAATTAAATAATAACCTACAGAAATCCTTCGCCCGAATTCGATATCATTTTCGCTTTTGAATTAAGTATTATTTATCACTTTTTTACGTTTGAAGTCTGTTCCACATTTTATAAAAAGTTTTTATTTTTATTTACAGCTTATTAGACGTTATCTTTTTTATACCAGTTGACACTTAGTGTTTTTTTGTTCACACGCTCTCTTTATAAGTTTGAATGTTGTAACATTTACCATAAGCTGTCTTATTTTAACCTTTGGAATTTCTTGACCTTTTAAAACATGTAGCGAGGTACACGGGGCTCAATATTAATGTCTATCTTGTCTACAGATGCCTTTACAAGAGATTTGAGTCTACGTCAGGTATTTTTGTGTTTTGTTGTGCTAGTTTGAATTAATTATTGTTGTAAGGATCTCGTGTTTAGAATCTTACCTTTTTGCAGATTTATAAGGAAGCTAATGAGGCATTATTTTTTAAAAATATAACTATGCCTTAATTTGCATCAATGTTTAGCGGGTCGTTGGTTATAATAATAATTTAAACCGACCTATTTGAAGGTACTTGTGGATATAAATATATGACATCGGTCAAATTATGGATCGAAATTTTTTTTCAAAGGACCATGTCTCCGATATGCAGACACTCAATTGACTGGTGTCACCAACAGTGAATAGACATAAAATGAAACATTTAAAGAGATTTACTAGTTGATGATGAATGATGATTATTCATTAATAATCAGATCAGATCCATGATATGATTGAATATCGAGTAGCTCGGTGGCGTAAAGAAAAGCACCGCGCCCCCCATTTGTTATTGTTAAGCAACTTTTACAAGGGTCGGTCACGGGATGGGTGACCATAAAATTATTATCTCGAGCTACTTCGGAAGACAAGTTAAAGTGTTGGTCCCGGCTGCATTAGCATTTGTACCATCCAATCCGCATTGGGCTAGCGTAGAGGGTCATGGCCCACCTTCCTCAAGCATCCATAAGTAAGGCCTTAGCCCCTGCAGTGCAGGAACGTAAAAGGGCTAATGACGATCGAAGCAAGTTTTTAGGGTTCCGTACACAACAAGGAACACTTATAGATTCGTCATATCCGTCTATCTAGCCGTCCGCGGTTAGCACAAAAACTATTGTTTTGTGTGTATAATAAAGAATATTATACATAACGGCACAAGAACCTCATTCGAGTCCTTAGAAATAGTGACATCAGCTTGGCTGATGTTACCATTAGGATCACTCATAATGTTTCAAATGATAATTCACTTTATAGCAATCAATTTTTATTAGTTCAAAAATCAACTTAATTAATCCACTTAACAATTAAAAAACAATAATTTGGTCACTCACAATTATTCACCAATCTCGGCGCCTTCCAAAAATGTAATGTCACAGAAATGGTTGTTCATTTTAAATACACTTCCAGAAATACAACCATATGTCAAATGACAATATTTTAATTCTGTTTTTTTTTAGTAAATGAACAATTGTTGTAAAAATTTATTATTAAATTAATCACATTTTTAAAACATAATTGCAAGCTTTATTTCTATCGAATTCAAAATAAAACAATCAATCTTACTAATAATATCAGGAAGTCTGATGCTAGATGGCGAATAATGAAATAATCTAATTGTAAGAAAATGTTAGAGGTATTCTGCAGTTTATAAATAATGATAATAATTTTGAATGATTTTAACAGACGAAATTTTGTGATTTAACAGCGTATAAAAAATTATAAAGAATATATACATTGAACTGCGTCAATTAGTAAACAATCTTTTATCAAGAAATTATTTAAACACATCACAGAAACCAAACTTTTAACTAACATAAGTAATTCCTCTTAAAATAAACATAGAACAGTTAGAATATTATTTTAAAATAGGCTTTAACATGTTGTTATTTCTTGTGACTCTGAACTCGCACCGACACGGCCATTCTGCAGGGCGGGGCGTGCTCTTCACCAGCCATAGTCCTAAAAATAAATAAAATTTGCTTTGAGCTAGGTATCTGTAAAAAGGTACACTAGCTGATAAACAATGTCAAATTAATGTCAACTATTATTATCATTCAGTAATGATCTTTGACATTCTTTCGATAACTGACTATTACCACCTATGTAAATTATACCGAGACTCTCGTCTCGTTAACATAGTAAAACATTATTTAAAATATTTGAGCAAATTGCACCAATATGCACTTGCAAGTTTAAGTTCAAATATGTAATTTCTCCACGAACATTGCATGTTATTATATGTATACACAGATTGTGCAACTAGGTGTTATTCCAATAACTTTATGTGGGGTTAATAATAAAGAACTTCAACTAACTTGTTTTTAGGAGTCTCGAGACGTTGTTCGCAAGGGCTGGCTTGAAGTAGAGTCCTCACTTGATTCGTCGTTATGGTTCGCCAACACAGCCGCCTGATTTCCTGGCTGCGGAGCTCTACGGAATTGATCATGAACCACCTTTCTCGGGCGTCCTCTTCCGTTCACTCTTTTCACCATGTAACGATCGTAATCTAGTATCCCATAAGGTTCACTAAGGTATTTGAGGTCAAGACATGTTTGGTTACGTAGGTTATTCTTAATAAGTACAAAGTCACCCCTCTGAAATTAGTGTATTTTTGCTTTGTTTTTATTTTATCGAAGCGTTGTTTTTCATATTGGACTGCATCGAACATTTTTTGTTGTACATGTTGTTCGAGCATATGAGTCTATAGTTTCGTATTCGTTGTTTACCAATCTTAAGAGTTGTGGTGGTACGCAATGTTGTCTGTGCGTTAATAGTGATAGTGGTGCCATACCTGTGATTCTGTGTGGAGTGCAGTTAAAAGCGAGCTGTAATGCCTCTAAAGCTGTACACCAGTCTGAAAACTGGAGACTGAAATCTCATAGTTTTTTATCATAGCAAGTGCATTTTTTAATGTACCCATCATTCTCTCTACCTGTACATTTGCTCGGCTTATTCCTGGCGCTATCATATGAATCTCAATACTAAAATGATCACAATATACTTTGAATTCTCCCAGGAATTCTCTACCTCCGTCTACTAATATTTGTATGGGTGTTCCGAATAAATAAAAATAATTTTATACTTAATTGCACACAACAGAACAGAAACAAGTTACAGAGAATAAAAAATATACAAAAGGTGTTTTTCTACGCAACCTATGGATGGCAAAAGATAAAAAGGATAAAGATTATATGAGGTATTGTGTGCAACGATAGAAAGGATACAAGATATATCATAATAAAAACTATATACAAGGAGACCGAATTAAGATATGGAAAGGAAATGGTTTTTAACTCTATCACCTAAAGAACTTAGTGAGCAAGATTTCCTGACATCCTCCGGAGGTGAGTTCCATAACCGCACAGCATGTACAGAAAAGGAATAGGAGACTTTGATTTTGATTAGGAGGCAGACGTAGAGAGAATGCTGCAGAGGGTTTTTGAATTGGGTGAAGTTTAGCTAGTACTGCGCCCGATGAACCTTTAGAAATACCACTGCTAGTAATTAGTTCGTACGAATGGTAGCGACTCTCAGCATCCGTAGTGCTTTGGCTCATATATGCAACTGCATGCTGACGTCCGCCGATTGTTTGAACCAGCACGGCTCCGTACGACATGCCCAAAGAACCTCAAAATTCGAGACTGGTTGGTAGGTTGGTAGATGTTGCGTTCTTGAAGTAAAGAGGTATACGGAAAAATTACTCTGTGGAACCCCATTCTTATGTACACGGGCCCCCAACTGTCGGACGCTGATTGGGAAAGTGTGATCCATTCTAGCCCGGCCACGACTCCAAAATGTAGGGTTTATGTCTATACAGTGTACGGGAGCGTACTCTCTGGTATAAGGAAAAAAGTAAAGCGGTATTTCTCTAGTTAAAACACATTTTTCGTGGCTAGGCTACAGCATATGCGACCCAGCGTGGCCACGCTTATATTTAAATTTTTTTTTTATTTTATTTTATTCAAATACAAAAATCACGATATAGAAATTAAAGAAGAAACCACAATTATTGCTCTTATAACTATGCCAGGCGATTCACATTTCAGTGTTTATTCAATAACTAATTAATTCAAGTTGAAAAAAGACAACATTTCTTGTAGTAATTGATAAGTACAATATTCCTATAGTTAAATAATCTGATAAGGTTACCTAATTCTTTGGATATAAGCGTGGCTGGGCTGGGTAGCCTGGCCACAAAAATGTGCTTGAAGCGGAATAATACCGCGGTACTATTTTTTCCCCTTGAGTATCAGAGAGTATGCCCCTATACAGTTAGACATGAACCTTACTTTTTTGGTGTTTTATGTTATATTATCATATGTGTTATATTTTAAATTAGAATATTATCAAAGATACATTAAACAAAAAATATATTTAATAATGATAATTATTTATTAATTGTAAATCTTCAAAATATATTAAGCTTAATGTTGGGATCAGATTCATATTTGTGTTTGTGTTCATGAAACAGGTCCGTGATGGCTTGCACGAACTTCCCATGTACTTCATCTATTTGCTCACGTGTCGGGTCCAACACTTGAGGCACATCGATAGGCGCACCAACTGTATATAAAATATAATTTCATCATCTTAAGTACATATTCCTTCAAAAAACATTAATTTAAAATTGTAAGCAAATGATAAAACAGATTTCTCACCGACTACGTTGATAGGAACCCTATATGGTATCATTCCAAAACTGTATTGGAAAAATCCTCTACCAGATGGCGCAATCAACGCAAATTTGGTATAGTCACGAACCCATCTCTGAAATCTACCCAACAATGTGTCTGCACCGTATGCAACACCATCAAACATTTTGTTTTCGCCAAAATTAATTACAGGAACGATACTAGCACTGAAACAGATACAACGATTTGATATCAATGAAGATGTCGTTAGTATTTTTACGTCAAAATTTTAAAAAGGCGAATTACCCTGCTTTAAGTGCAACACGCACAAATCCTTTTCTATTTTTGAGGTAAAGATTGTATGAATCGTTGCGCGTTAGCATCACCTCAGCTGAACCTCCAGGGTTCATTAAGACAAAATTCCCTTTAAACTTTTTACTATTTAAGTGATAAAGAATACACTCTTCGGTTCCCATTACGCCTCCTCCATAAACAAATATCTCGCGTTCGAATGGTATTCCCCAGCGTGTGGGAACCGATACCATGTGAGCAGTAAGACCAGGAAATGTGTCTTCAAATCCGACCGCGGTCGAGGAAACTGTAAGCCATTGGCTCAGCGTTAACAATCCATGCGGATGCGACGGAGCTAAATAATTCTTCGTTGGGTCGAGATCAACTGTCTTCACCAGTTTAATGGGATAATATTCTACACAGTATTTCCAAATGCGCCAACTTCGGTACCAATCACTCCTGCAATATTTCCAAAACTATTTTTTATAGGCTGGTAAAGTTAAATGTTCATTACTTATTTAATGACTGACTTTTCATGATATTGGTTTAAATAACTAGCAGTTTTACTGTGATTTCGCCTCCGCAGTGAGGGATTAAGCCAAAGCGAGGCTTGTAGCAAATTTCTTGAGGGACCCTTGGTTTACTTGAGATTGAAATAAAACAAATTCTCACAAAAACACACTTTTCATGATTTGTAACATTTCATTGTAAAAGTAACCGCCAATAAAACTGTTTAGGGTCAATTTAATTTACGATGTGAGTCAACATGCGCTAATTCATGAGTAAATTCGAATTCGGGTTTGGGTTTTTACACAATCGCCCGGCAAGACAAAACAAATACAAAATCTCAATATGATTAGAGAAATCATTTACATATTATATTTGCTCAATTTTGCATTAACAATGCTACTCAAAACTCTACTTTGTCCCTGGTACTCAAAGAGTTCATTAGGAATATCATGTAGGGATATTTGATCATCAATTTACTGTTTTGCTGAATTTATCCTGCAAATACTTTTTGGGTCAAAACGTATCTCAATTATCGTAATTATAATAATAACAAATGTCTACTTACCTACTATGACTATAAAAACCAGCTGAACAATTATTGTACAAAGCGTACAATATGTACAATACATCTAGCCACCACAACCTTGTCCATAGCAGGGCAATGAAAAATATGTAGCCAGCGAAGATACCATAGGATGCCAAGAATACAATGCAGAAGATACTGAGAGTCTGCAGACGACGTCTCAAAGGCACGTTCAAAGGTGCCCACTTAATATTAAACATCTTGCTGATCTAAGAATGTGTAATAAATATATTTAGCAGCGCCATAATTAAATAAATAATAGCATTATATTAAGAGTTAAAGTATGAAATTGCCGTTTTATTGTTTGAATTGACATAGAATCTTCATGGTTTAAGGATTTTGAAAGAAACTATTTTCACGTGGTTTCTATGATGTGATTTAAAAAAATGTGAAACATTTGAATATCGACTCTCAATTGTTTTTGTTTTTCTACTTAGACATAAAAGATGGATACTGCGAAATTCGAGTAATTTTTGAATAGGAGTTCCGACGCGGAAGTATCCTATTATTATCCTATTATTAATATATATTGTTATATATTAATATATATCAATTATAGTAAATCCTATTATTAAATCCGTCTTATTATAAAAAAAAAGAAGTGAATTTATGCGGCCAATGGTTTAAACTTATTTAGTAAATTTAAAATAATAGAAGATAAAACGTCAAATTGAGATGTCATGTATTGATTTAATTTGGTCGGATAAAGGTTTAAAAAGGAAGCCAATTCTGCCAATGTTTACTTAATAATAACATCTCAATAGAATCTCAACTAGTTGCACTTTGCCATTGTACTCTATCAGAGTGATAAACGTAAGAATTACGTTTAAGGCGTTCACAAGGGGGAGGAGGATGAAGATTTATAGTTCTTGGTAGTTAACGGGGCGGTGCCGATCGAATGAATGTAAATATCAAAAAAATGTACACTAAGCGCTCTGAAGTCCAATATTATCATATATCTGTCACCATATGCGAGGAAGACATTGCGCTAATCATATTAGACTTTATGTAGAAAGTACAATAGTAAAATGCAAGATACGATTATTACGTAACCATCATTTGACCAAATTAATTCGATACATCTTAATTTCACGTTATCTCTTCTGTTAATGTTAATTTGATTTAGCGACCAATAGGTTATACCAGTTAGCGTTCTCTAGAATTAATGTAAACTAAAAACAAGTTTCACCATACTAATATGGACTTAATTTTTGTAACAATTTTATTAAATAGGAGCAATGTACAGCCCCTAAATTCCACTATGTAGTAGATACCTACAGTTACAATTATCATTTAAACCAAATTTTAAAATATTTCAATTCTTTTACCATCCATAAAAATAAGATGTTCATATTCGAGCAATGTTAGTTTTAATGAAATCTCTTCAAAATACTTTCATTAATTATATTATGTCTGATTGGTATAATTTTGAAATTCCGCATTTTGCGTATATTTGGGTATCCACGTCACGGAATCCCCAGGAATTATCTTAAAAATATGACTTTATTTTTCTATCATGTCAATAGCAAAAATTTATCACATGCATCTGTTGTTTTTTTTTTATCAAAAAATTTATTAAATCTGATCACAAAGATTGCCAAATTTCGAAAAGTAAACTGCAATGACGCACTTAGGATTTTTTTTTTATAGAATGAAGAGTTATTGTAGATTTTAGAAAAAAGGTGAACAGCAAATTTCTAATTTTAAATAACTATGTGTTTAAATTATACTTTAAAAAAATATAATCTGGTGTTATCTGTAAAGGATAACTATGTTTTCGCCCTGGACATTTACTTTATAATGTTCGCCTGAGAAATTCACTCATAAGTACCTTTTCCATATAATATGTTCCTTTGTAAACGTTATAAATTTCTATTAATAGAAGTGCTGTTACATAAAAGAATACGAGAATCAAGAAAAGAGTTCAGTTTTTTATTATATTGTTTAGTTTTAAACTTTTTTTTTGTATTGGTACTTCACTGTGAAAAATTTCGTTTTACGATAATAATATTGACATTACTCACATCTGAATAATAACTTTATGAAAAGAATTGCTGTGAGCACTAAGCACCATTAAATTATAGCCTTCTCTTTATTACACTATTACACCTACTCAAATACGTAATACTTATATAAGATCTAAACACTGTAAAACACAAATAAAAATATTTCGTAAATAAATAAATATTAATACAAAGTGTATATGTGGAAAAAACTTTAGGCAGGCATGTTTATCAATTTTGACTGTTGATTGACAACGTTCCTCAAAAAGATTATTTATGAGTGAAAAAAAAAATGCATTCTATTGATGTATTATGTACAGAAAATATGTTTGAATAAAATAAAAATTGTTACCCTTATGACCAATATCTTCATGTATAGTCGATTTGAATTGAAATAATTGTTTTTCTGGTTGCAAGTTTGAACGTGTTTATTTATATTTCCTATCCGGCTTTTAATCAGCAAGAATAGAATGGTCAAAAATTAATTTTGAACATATTTTTTATTGCATTTTATTTTCATTTTCATTTTAATTTTATGATTTTAGATTTAGATTGCCAAGGTAGAACAATTATGATTACTTTTTTGTTAAGTTTGTAATACCAAACATCATAGAAAATGGTTACATTTTCGTTGATTGTTTAGAATTTTATTGGACATTTTTATGTTTTGTTTTAATTGTTCCTACTTCTTTTCACAATGAGTACACATTCTCAATTGATAAATGCATTTTAGCATTTTTTTAAGTTTTAATGACTTTAGCGAATAGATCCAGTAAGCATATTAGTTTTATTAGTTGCTAGCTTTAATATACCATGGTTACCAAATAATGATTTATTGTTCAAATTACTGATACATCCTTTCTTATCATTCATTACTGATCTGTGACGAAACATTAGGCTTTATCGTAAAATACTCGTGCTCGTACTCGTGCTAGGTCTGAAATACTGGTCAAAGCTTTCCGACTCGAATCCTAATTCTAAACTACTATTTCGAGTACCAAAATATTCGAATACCGAAAATTGCTGACTTGGCACATCACTATTCAACATTAACAGTTCCCTTTCTCAAGGAAGGCAGATGGTGGATTAAAAATTTAAGACATGTCACCAATCGTTCAGCAAGTGACATTTGAAAAGCTTTTATTTAACTTGCAATGTATGTATGTTTGTTCAGGTGGAATATTTGAACTCAATTTTAAAGTAGATATCTTCAACCGATTGAGCTGAAATTTTGTATACTTTGTATTGTCATGATAAAGTGTGTGACGTTATTCTAAATCCAAATAGTTATTTTTAATGCACTTCTGCAATATGGGTATCAAATGAGAGAGCTCGTTGAGAGTAACTTGAATCGAATGCGTTATTCTAAATCCAATAAGGCGGAATATCCAAGATGTCGGAATAATTATTATTTATGTAATTCTGCAATATGGGTATCAAATGATAGGGCTTGCCGAGAATAATAAGAAAAATAATGTGACATCACTGAAAATCTAATAAGGCGTACTATTGTGGTATTTTATGCTTAAAAAAATTAACTAAATTATCCGGTAAACGACCTTGCGGCAATGATGCACTGAATGAGAGGAACAGGCTGAAGAACCTAGCCAGCGATAACTAAAAGTTAAAAAATAAATTGAAAGCAAAGAAAACTTTAAAAAAGCTTTTATTTAAACTCTTTAAAAAGAAGAAAATAAAATTTCAAATTTTTACAATTTTAAAATTTCAAATCCTTTCAAATGTTTACTACCAACTTATTCATTATAATTATATACCTACAATTTATCCTATTAATATTATAAATGTGAAAGTTTCTTTGTTTGGATATTTGGTTGTTTTGATGTTTGGATGTTTGTCGGTCAATCACGCCGAAACTACTGAACGGATTTTGATGAAATTTGGTATACAGATAGGGTATTAGCTAACTTAGGTAATAGGATACTTTTTATCCCACTTAACATTTCCCTAGGGTCCACGCGAGTGAAGCCGCTGGCGAAATCTAGTATGATCATAAAAACATGTCGCGAAATTTAAGTACCTATAAATATTAACTTGAAATTTTAAATTAATTTTAGCAGATTTTACTTTTAGTTTATTTACATAAGTAAATCGAGCTACAAGCTTTAAGGATCATATAAATTGTGTATTAAGGAGGTTATACATTGGTAGTTCAAATTTTAAAGGAAAATTTTATTTTCTTCTTTTAAGAGTTATTAAATAAAAGCTTTTTTTTAAGTTTTTATACATTTCGATGTAGAAAATAGCTTTTTTTTTTTGTATATACGTACGTATTTAAAAAAAATTAAGATCGTCTTTGAGTTTGTCCAAATTTAAAGGTATAATAATATTTATATTGATCAACGCTATACTGTAAAAATTCTTAATGAAAATTGCTTGCAATATCCACCTTTTCCCTGGCATTCTGAGATGGGACTCGAACCCATGACCTTTCGCAATCCGGGCGACTGTTCTAACCATTGAGGTACCCAGGATACCATAAATAACATTTTTTAAAAGTTGACTCATTATGTATATTTATTTTATTTAATGTATTAAGTAACTAGCAAATCCAAAGTAGTTTATCAGAGCAGAAAAACTTATTGAGAATAATTCTTCTATTATTGTTACAACGGATGTCAATAAAAAAATGCTTTTCTGCTCTAATGAACAATTTTGGTTTTGCGGATTAGGTACTACGGTTTGCTTTCTAATCTCGACACATATCATGTACATACATGACAATGGTTAACAACATACTAGCAGCTGTTTACTTAAAAAGGAAAACAAATTAAATCGAAAACAGTTTTACTATTTTTATTTATTTTATGTATTTACATTTTATGTACAACATTTAACGATAATTGCGTCACAACGCACACACAGGCGCCTCCATTGAGCATTTCTTTATAATTTACTTCATGTTTCCTTATCGTTTCATTAACGAAGGTATCATTATAATTAAACACAATAATATACATACAAAAAGAGCGGGAATGATATATTAATGTGACGGGCGCGATGCGCTTTCGACGTAAGTTCATTATGAGTAAGTAGTTACCCAAACGTACCTTCATATGTGTTATCAGCATCAACATAATATTTTCAACATAACACGTAATTATCTTACCTTGAACCTTCTAGATTCAAATTGTAGTAAGTTATCTTGTTTTCTTTGTGTGCTCCATACATTGATATACAATTTTCAGCAAGTAATATTTGCTTGTACTATAATGCTATAAGCAACAAACATCCTGTTTGCGCCAATCTATATCCCGCCCAGTGGACAATCTCATAACAACAGAAGCTTTTGAACAATAATAGTTTCAAGACGACAACCATCAAGATTAATTCGAGGAAATTATAGAAGCTACTTATATTACTTATCGAATTAAGAAAGTTATTAACGGCTGTGTATATACATATAAGGCGAAAATTCTGGAAAACATTATTTTATGGTCAAATGGCAAGTCGGCACAGATTTTTATAAATAACGCAATTCAAAAGCTCCAGAGACTGCAAAGAGGTTCAACAAAAACAAAAAAAAAATAAACAAAATAAGTAAAACGACACATTCTGTTACAGCTTAAGTAAAAAATTCGTGATTAAGGACAATGTACGCACGAGGAAGCGGTATATCTTACAACAAATAATCATACAGATAACGCTATCAAGTAGATAGTACAGTCTTAATTGGAGTTAACAGTATTAATTTAAAATGCCGTTCACAGAAAAATCTAAAACGATAGATATATTCTAAAATAAATCACGGATTTTGACTTTAGATCTTGAAAATCTGTCCTGGTTCCAGGTCAATATTTATCATCAAATAGGTATGCTTCTCACTTAAGCATAATCATTACTAATCTTAGGCATTCATATTTCTAACAATCTCTATGAAAGTATTAGTTTGATCCCAAGAAAATGTAATTATCTAAATTATATCCTGATCTGAATAACATAATATTTATGCCATTTTTATATTAACATTGGTCTTTTAAATCGTAATGAATAAAATCAAAGATACGATTGATGACCCAAAATGTCACCGTATCATGTTCTAATGAAATTATTAAACTTAAAAACAAGTATTGGTTTTAAAGTCTATAAAGCAGATTATTTCACGCTTGTTTAGGATGTGGCGCTGGTGCCGGCGGAGCTGGTTTGAAACACTGAAGCAAGAATGCTGTGTACATAACGAACGCTATTGATAAAGCTATCAATGCGTACATAAAGATATTCAGTTCTGGCTGTCGGAATCGATTCTTTCGAAGCCATTCCAATACTTCATCTTCGGACATGAGGTCGCCTAAAACCAAACAAGTCAATATTATTTTTGAATTAATGGTGTGAGATAATTTGGCTGTAGCTCATTTATGTGATATGCTTACCCCTGTATATACTTGGAAATCTCTTCCTGAAATACACAATAGCAGGAAGTTTAGTCACTCCCCATTTGCGTGCGTAACGTGGGTCTTCCATTTTTACAAATGTGATATCCAAGTTATCGGTTTCACTATCAATGTTTTCTAATTTATCCAAAACAATTCGACTTTCAGGTGATTTTTCATCTGGAGACAAAAAGGTATAGATCAACGACCATTTATATAAAAGATATGAAATTAAGAGAATGCGATACTCACAGAAATAAACAGCTAAGAATTCGTTTTCATCCAAAAGTTTATCTAACATTTTTCGGTTTACTTCCTCAATTTCGTTTTTAATTTCAAAAACGTCTTGAGATGTTAACCATTGTAGTATTCTGTCTACCTGGTGTAAATCACCGTCGTAAAGCATTGGCACTTGTTTACGGAAATACATCAGTGTAGGCATATTAACCACGTTATATTTTGCAGCTGCTTCTGCACTGGCAATTTTGACAAAATCTATGCCATACTGATCTACTTCTCCGTCAATTTGTTCTAAAGACTCTAGTATTTCTTCACATTCAGGACAATCTTCATCGTCGTCTAAAATAATGGTTTGTTATTTTATTTACATAAGCAATTATCTAAATATCACAATACAATTTATAATATATACTTACAGAAAAATACCACTAGTAAATGTGATTCCTGAAGTAGTCTTTCCAACATTCTTTCGTTGACTGATTCAATTTCATCAGCTAATTCCCGATTGTCATCATCAATAAGCCATTCTAAAATAGATTCTTCATTTTGTAAATCACCTTCAAAAAGAAGTGGGTTTCCGTTTCTGGAAGAAATGTAAGTGTTTTATTTTCCAATATGCTTCTTATTTGTAGAAAAAAAATCCAACAGACCTTATTATGACATATTCTATAAAATAAATAAAATTCATACCTAAAATAGACCATTGCTGGAAATGTTTTAATAGAATATCTTTTAGCCAATTGTGGATCTTGAATTTTCACCATGTGTATGCCATAAACATCACATTCATCATCGATGCTCTCTAGTCCTTCAAGAATATGATCACATATATGGCAGTTTAACTTATCTGAAATAATTAAAAAACCATTAATACGTGACTCAAAAACTTTGGACGTTTTACTAAAATTACGCTAGTGGAAGACTACGAAAATTGGCACAGTTAAAGTCTTGTTGGCCTGGAAGGCCTGAGCCACTGCAGTGGGGACGTAAAAGAGCTGGTGATGATGATGAAAAATGTCTAATAGCGGTGACTGGGCGACAACAGCTAAATATAAATACATAGATATACAAGAATATTCGATTCACTCATGTATTTTAAAGCAAACTCACAAAAATAAACAGCTAAATATTGAGTTTCTTCTACCATTTTTTCCAACATCACTCTTGTTATAAGTTCAATCCGATCCTCAGTTTTTTGTGTTATAAGCCATTGAAGAACTTCTTCTTCTTCCGATAAAGATCCTTCATAAACGTTTGGTATATTATTCTCAAAATACACTAGTACTGGAAAATCTGTCACTCCATAAGATTCAGCTATTGAATAGTCCTGAGTTTTGACAAACTTGATACCGTGTCTGTCACAGTCGTCATCTATGTTTTCAAGTTCTTCTAATATTCCGACACATTGTTCGCAATCGATGCTGTCTGAAATATTTATATTATCTATTAGCAGTTAAGTTACATTAACGACATATCAGTATTCGTCAAGAGTGGAAAAGGTCTATGTAAAAGTAATGACTACTTGTTATTAATAAGAGAGCCTATTACTAGAATACTTTAGAAACTCAAACTACAATGTTGCAGTAAAAATCATGAATCTAAACTATCTTCATGACGAGGGCACTATTATATTTCCTCTATAAGGAAACTAATTCCTAGAAAAGCCTACATAAGTAATGGAAAACTGGGATGACTATTTTCACTATAGCATGATGAAATAATTATCATACATGAAATCATCATGATACCTAAATGCATGCCACATGCAGGGACTACTTTAAGGGTAAATATTAGAAGGTACTTTAGGAGGGTACTATATTATGTACTGATAGGGATGCCTAATCATTTATCTTTTTTTATTAAAGTACCCTCTGGTTCCTGCCCCTCTTCGTCCTCGTGCTCTTTATCTTTCTTTTTCATCGCCTTTCTCAGTGCTTTTGAGTTGCAAATTTCACACAATGTTTTGTTCCCTATTAAAAAGTAATGTGTGAATTATTAAGTTTAAATTTTTACATTATTAACCTACATTTGTATGGATGAATATCAATAAAGTAATCCACATGAATCGGCTTTTTTGTTTCATAAAACGTATTAGAAGACATGAAAATATTAATTAAAGCATTAATTTTGACATTCTTGCAAGTAAAGTAAAATATAAAATTTTCAATTCATAAAAGCAACTTACAGAAATATACTGCTAGTGACCCAGATTCTTCAATCAAATCTAAAAGATCTTGTCCTTCTAACGCTTCGATCACATCCCCTGCTGGATTTTTTTGAGTTAACAGCCAACTTAAAAGCTGCTGTTCATCATATAGGTCACCTGAAATAATATCACGCCAATTTCAAATACTATAAATATCAAATAAACATAGTATATTCGTATCTCGTATACTCATAATTAGAGAGGGTAGGTTATATAAAAAAAAACTGGAAAATATATTTGTTTTTTGAAAAATAATAAGCATTAGGCAGACATACCGTACATTATATGATAAAGCTACCTTGCTATATAATAATTTTTGCATAAATAACGAATACGTAATGGTAAAAACGCTGTAAGATAGCATGTCATGGCAACACGCTTTTTTTTGCACTCTAGCAAACAGTGGTGAGCAAATGTAGAAGTATACATATGTATTTATTTAATGCACTAACCCGCAGTATTTATCCTTTGGTTGTATAGTTTTCATTAGCCAAAGGTTGCGTGATAAAAATTGCTACCGTAGCAAAAAGCCGCCTTTTGAATGTAGGTTTATAGGTATTTCTTTTTGTTTACTGTGTTTGTTTTAATGCAATAATGTATATTGAATTCAAGTAGGTGCCCTGAGCAAATAACATCTATAGTACAATATGTTTATCGTGTATTCGAGAAACAGGATGGACATGTTGGACACTTATTACTATCTTGGTAGTCACCAGGAAAAAACATTTTGTTTTAAATTACCAGCATAAATTACAGGATCTTTGGATCCTAACTTGAAAAATAAGACAGCAGGTAGAGCAAATACTCCAAACTCTTTCGCCATTTGTCTATCATCGATCTTCACGAAATTGATTCCAGCTCCATCGGCATCATCATCAATATGCTCGATCTCAGCTAGCACTCTGGGACATTGTTTGCAGTCATTACTGTCTAAAACATATCATATGTACAATACAATTGGAATTATGAATTATAAAAAGTAGTTAAAAAATACGCAAAATAATACAATCATTGAACCTTAACTCTGAATAAAATTAAAACTCACAAAAGAATACTGCCACATAATCTGATGTCTGTCTTATTTTTTGAAACATCTTTCTGTTAACTTTCTCGATATGATCCGTCAACTCCATATTTTCAGGGTTCGTCAACCAGTCGAGTATTTCTTCTTCGTCATCTATATCTCCATCATAGTTAATATATTTGCCTTTTCTGAAGTATGTTATACCAGGAGGGTTACGGAAGCCATATTTTTTAGCCATTAAACGATCACTGCACTTAACTATCTTAATACCATACTCAGCAGCTTCATCGTCTATCAATTCTATGTGTCTTAGAACTTTTGGAGTGTCCGGATCTTCTTCTTTGTCTAAAAATAGCGCAAAATTAATATATTTTTTAATATCATCAGTACTGCTAACTTACTGATAAAATTATTACTCACAGAAAACAACAGCCAAAAATTCCTTAGTTTCAATATACTTAAACAATTCGTCTCTGTCGATTTCTTCTATACTCTCATCCTCTTTCTGTTTGATCATCCAATCTAAAACTTCGTTTTCGTCCAACAGATTACCTAAAATATTTTAAAGATTACTACTATATACAGCCTGTAAATTGAAACAATCAAAATATTTTTAAAGAAACCACATCCATTTCATTAATTATTTGAAAACTCACCAGTATACATCCAATAAATGGCATGCGCGGGTACAACTACTGCAATACCATGCTGACATCATTCGAATGAGAAATGAATAGTGGTAAAACGTAATAGAAAATTTATTTATTTAACAAAAATTGATATGGCACCGACTCAACATTTCAACGTAACAATAAATAAACATCCATGCGAATTTTCGGCCAATCAATACAACTTACATAATTATCAACTTATTTCACACAACGCCAATATTGTCAAGAGTGAATAGTAATAGACGGTCTGAATTGATTTATTTTAATTTATTATTAAATTGGTGTTAACAGTGCAAATCGTCTATCACTTTTCTAATGGGATTTACTTTTTAAAATGATTGTGATTAACAAAATCATAGTTCTTGGCACTGCATCTTTAAAAATTATTATTACGGATATAAAATAATAAAAGCTAGGTCCTAACGATTAGTTTCTTTTATAAATGTAGGTATTACAAAATAATGAGATTCCATGAAGACTAGAAAACTATATGAACATGAAATCCTTACAACGATAAGTCTTTCAAGATGGCACAGCAAAATACAGTTAGAAATGCCTCATGTTGTCTTGAACTCGTTTAATTTCTAAATATTGGAATCAATTTTACAATCATCATTAACGATTTGTACATCTGTTGGTGATGTCGATAGACATACCAATATTTAGTTAATCTTTGCCCTTGAATTTATAATAGAGCACAAACCTTGAGTAAGTGTAGACACTGAATATAGTAGGTTCAGTGCGAGCTGTGTTTACTTATCAGGGTTTATATATTTGTCATATTTAAATAATTCGAGAAATTCTAAGGTCATAGCAAACACAGCCCTTGTGCTAAATGTTACAACATTAAACCTTGTTAAGTGCTAGCGGGGATCAAGGGACACGAGGTTATTAAAAAGCTAGTAATGTTAATGTACAATGACAAAACAATGCAACGTTAGCCCAGACCAATCATATTAGATAATGATGACACCAGTTTGGTAAGGACTGGAAACTATTAAAACGGTAACATTCGTGTCCACTTGATACCTCGCGTGCACGAAGCTACAACTTACAATAACATCTTTATCGACATTAGCGCAAGTGAAAATATGAATTGATTAAATTTTACCACCACCAAATATTGTCAGACTCGAATAAACCTTTTTTCCCTTTGCCTTGCTTGTCAGCCTTAGCGAGCGCCTTGTTTTTGCCCTTGGTCGGTTTTTCCGGTTGCGGTTTGACTTTCTCCTTGCCTAATTTCTTTGGCGGAACCTTCGTCGGTGTGGCTTTTGCCACTTTGGTTGGACTTTGGACTTTAGTGGGACAGCACTGGTAGGGTTCATATGTCATTTTTGGGACAGCCGGTTTCGCCCCCAATCCAATGTAGAAACAGCGATCGCCTGCAGTCAGTAAAAATTTGATGTTTACAACCCGTATAACGATAACCACAAGATACAGCAAACTGTGCAAATTTATAGTACGCGCTTGTATGTTATAGCGCTATTAATTCTAAATGAATGTTAGTAAGTATAAGAATTGAAAAACATTTAAGTTGGAAAAGCGCTCGCGAATGACTGCAGGCGACAGCTAGAATGCGAGGACCCATGCGGGTACCAGTATTCGACCATGCAGATGTGTGACTGTCAGGTACAAGGTTCTCCGTGCCTCCGTGCAGGATCATCTCTCGGGGTCCAATACTACTCATTACCTGTAAACATTCTTTTTATTCTACCAAAAAAACTATTATCTTCGTTATTATTATCGTCATCCTCATCATTGTCATCATCGTCGTCATCCTCCCCCTCACCATACTCTTTCTCATCATCGTCATCCTCTTCGTCATCTTCGTTATCATCATCATCATCCTCATCCTCATCCTCATCATCGTCTTCATTATTATCGGCTTCACTTTCGTTGTTGTCTAGATATATTTCTTTGGCATTAGAACGATTATTCAACTTAGCACCTACTTTTCTTATATTTTTTTTAAGCTTTCTCAATTTGTCATCTCCAGTTTCACCATCATCATCATTACTGTCATCATCATTATTGTCATCGTCGTTATCGTCACCAGAGTCAGTGTCGTTATCATCGTCATCGTCATCGTCATCGTCATCATCATCGTCATGGTCATCGTCATCGTCATCGTCATCGTCGTCGTCGTCGTCGTCGTCGTCGTCGTCATCGTCGTCATCGTCATCGTCATCGTCATCGTCGTCATCATCTTCATCGTCATCACTTTCATTTTCGTCATTGTCGTCATTAGAATTATAATTTTTATTTTTAGAGATAGGTTTTCTCAAGTTAGGATAACGAATTTTAAGATTTCCGATTTTTTCCCATTTGACTTCATTGTTTGATGATTTAGATTTAAAAGCATTTGCGTTTTGATTCTTCTGAACCTCATTGCTGCCATCATCATCATTGTCAACAACGTCATCATCATTGTCACCTTCATCACTGTCACTATTCTCATCATCATTATGATCATCGTTGTCATTATCTGCTTTACGATTTGAATGTTGTTTTTTTATTTTATATCCTGATTTTTTAGATTTGTTTCCAGGGAATCGTACTCTTATCGTACCCATCGTTTTCCATTCAGCAGATTTTTCATTTTGCTTAATTTTGAACCCAGGAGCATCTTTTTCAAGTTTACTCCGAAACCCCGAGGATTTATCATCACCATCTGCACTGGTCATCGATTTAGTGTTAGCTTTATAGTTTTGGCGGTGGCTATCTTCACCTGCAGGCATTAGTAACTGTCATGCAAAATGACACAGCTCAAACATCCAGCATATAAGGCATAAAGTAATAGAATCAAATAATATTTTAAATATTTTCCAAGAATGATGTCATGCACAGTGAATTGCGTTTCTTTAATTTAATTTAAATAAATGCTAAAATATCCTTATAAGAAAAAAAATATTTTATTTAAATGGATGTGGATTCTTACTTTTCTGATCTACAAGCCACTGGAGAACCTTTTTTTCATTCTTTAAATCACCTACAAACAGGATAAAAGAAGAAAAATATTGTAAAAAAAAATGTAAACAAACATAGATACAAGAAAATTGCTAATGCATTTTCTAGATTTCTGAAATCAATAGTGTAATATAATTATCTTAATTAATGCGTTTCTTCTCTTTTTTAAATTACTTACCATCGTACATTATAGGCACACCCGTTTCATAATATACCAAAGCAGGGAAACTAAATATGCCAATATCAGACGCCAATTTAGAATCCTTCGATTTAACAAATTGAATGCCATGTTTGTCAGTATCATCATCTATTGTTTCTAACTCCTCAAGGATATCATCGCAGGTGTCACAGTCTTCACTATCTATAAAGAAATGATTAAGTAATTAAACTTTGTTATAAAATGAAGTTCTAAATTCCTGAGAAAAAAATATTTACAGAAAAATACTGCCAGATGCTCAACGTCATCAATTAAGTCTTTCAATGTTTTTCTATCAACACTTTCTATGACATCTGGTTGGGAGTCATGAAGTTCTAAAACCCATTTCAGAATGGCTTCCTCGTGCATTAGATCTCCTTCATAGATTGTCCTGAATTTGTGCCGGTAAAAGGCAAGAGCAGGCAATTCCGATAGATCATATTCTTTGTCGATGCCTTCATCAGATGTCTTCACAAAATCTATGTCCTTTTCTTCACACTCATCATCAATGTTTTCTAATTCACTCAATATTTTTTGTGATTTTTTATCTCCTTCTTTATCTGCAAAATATTAATTCGTAAAAACAGTTCGTCTTTTGAACAGTAGTAACATTAGTCAAATATTAATAATGGAAATTAAAATAGAAATACTTACAGAAAAATACGACTACATGATCGTTCTCTTCTAAAATCTTTTCCAACATCTTTGAGTTAACTTCTTCGATTTTGCCAGGAATTTCCAATGTATCCTCATCAGTTAACCAGGACAAAACTTCATCCTCGTCTTCAATATCACCTACGAGTATTAATTTACTTAAATACGACCCATTAATTATACCTGATGCGGATTTTTAACAAATAAATATTGGTCGTTTCACATGATCGTGATGTTATTTTAACTGGTCTCAATCAGCATTAATATATTTTGGAGAAAATGGTTTTTACATAGTGAGGAAACGTAAAGAGTTCATTATAAATTAAAATATAAATAATTACTGCCTTCAAAAGAAGTCTAACGAACATGGTATTCGCTTTTCCAGTTAAAGGATATGATTCCTAATTTTGGAATAAAAATAAGAAATCATATTCACATTAGAGAAAAACTTGCGTTGTTTTTTTGCCTCGGTATTGAAATGAAATATGACATTCATTAAATTTAGAATGTAAAACAATTGTATTAATGCAATTCCAGGAGTAAATGTATGCTAATGAGCTCATATTTTTAATAGGCAGACCAAGATTATCCACCACAGATGGTAAGCTATTCATGACCTCTTGGATACATTTTATATGATAAAGATAGTGCAAAATATATATTGGTAATGGTGACCTAGTGATTATTTTTAATAAAATTCTCATTCTTAACCTGACCTCGAATTAAACACAAACATTACCTTTGTATATCAGGGGATCCTTGTTTCTGAAAAACACTAATGTAGGGAAGGTTTTGATTCCATATTTCTTGGCTAGATTTACATCTTCAGTTGTAACGAAGATAATTCCAGTCTCATCAAGCTCATCGTCGATGTTTTCCAGTTCATCTAAAATATTGTCACACTCTTCACCTTCTTCGCAGTTACCACCTGAAATCAAATTTGGTCTTTTCTTAAGAAATATAGTGTATAAACAATATATTAAGTAAGGTTTAAATATATATAGAATAAAAAACCGTTCATAAATTATATTGGCAAGACTACTTACTAAAATATACAACAACGTATTCGTGCTCTTCGATAAGATCACTTAAAATTTCATCGGTAACTTCCTCGATGGTTGCACTATTCTTTTGTTCAATGAGCCATTCGAGTACTTCGTCTTCGTTCATTAAATCGCCTTCATATATAGCTGGAATGTTTTCCTCAAAATATACTAACGTAGGCAAGTGATCTATACCAAATTCTTTAGCTTCAGCGTCGTTATCCATTCTCACTATAACAATGCCTTCCTTTTCCAATTCATCATCTATGTTTTCTAGTTCGTTAAGGATTCTTATATCCTGTTTGTCGTCCTTGTCATCTGTAAAAAACAAAATCTTACATAAGTCGCGATTTATATTGAATTTAACATTTAAGGTTGTTTTATTATTTCGATATTTGACATAATACTTGTGTCAAATATCAAAATAATAATTGTCATCATTGAACTATCAAATCTTCATTGAAAAATGTTGATAAAAATAATTATAAATGGATCTCGTTCTACTTACAGAATATAACTGCAAGATATGGAGTGTTTTCAATAAGTTTGTCCATCATTTCATCGGTCACTTCAGGAATTTCACTATGACGTTTTTGGTGGAGAAGCCATCCCAGTAAATCATCTTCTTTCATCAAATCGCCCTCGTATATGTGAGGAATACCTTTTTCGAAGAAAACCATGGTAGGTATTGTTTCAATGCCATATTCTTTGGCTTCTTTGTCATCATCGATTTTGACAAACGCGATGTCGTTTTGATCACATTCATCATCAATATTCTCCAATTCAGCCAAAACTTTCTGACTCTTCTTCTGATCTTTGTCGTCTAGAATAAATTTGATAAACTGTATTTCATTTATATGCCAGCTCTTGACTTAATATTAAAAAGTGAATTGCTAGTTTTAAATTTTACCCAACAATTTCAAGCAGCACAGTAATTTGGAACTTGGCAGTAGTTCAAAATATTTACCAATGTTAAGGCCATGGGTGACTTTAAAAATACTTACAGAACAGTACTGCGACGTATTGCATTTTATCAATGATCAAATCAAGCATTTCATCAGTGATATCTTCTATTTCGTCGCTCTCTGTTTGATATTTTAGCCATTGCAGTACTTTTTCTTCCTCTTCAAGATTACCCTCGTAATATGTTGGAATACCCTTTTCGAAGTACAACAAAGTCGGCAATTTCTCGATACCATACTCTTTAGCTTCTTCATCGTTATCGATTTTTACAAATGCAATACCAAGTTGATCACATTCATCATCGATGTTTTCTAATTCATTCAACACTCTTTGGGACTTGCGGTCATTGTTATCATCTTAAAATAAAAATAAAATATGTTAAACTATAAAATCCGAATGGCCTTATATTAAAATATAAATCGGAACTTACAGAACAACACAGCTATTGTCTTTCCGTCCTTAATTAAGCGATCCAACATCTCATCGGTTACATCTTCTATCTCGTCTTTTTCTAGTTGATCTACTAGCCATTCCAACATTTCTTCTTCATTTTCAAGGTCACCTAGAAATGAGTGTCAGTAGGCAAATAAATTTCGTGTTTTGATAGCTTATACATTTGAACAGCCACTGCAGGTGCTTTTTCTTGATATCATTTAAAATAATGGAAATAATTACCGTCATACACATTAGGAATCTGCTTTTCAAAATAAACGATGGCAGGCACATTATCGATACCAAATGCTTCAGCAGCCTTGTCATCATCTATTTTAACGAACTGGATGCCGTGACGATCACAATCATCGTCTATTTTCTCCAACTCGGCCAGAACAGTCATAGATTCTTCATCACCATGATCATCTGATAATAATATTATAAGAAAAGTTAATCGTACTAAAAGAAAGTGGCTAAATCTATGGAAATATTATGATAAACAAAAGATTTGATTGTTTGTTTGCATTAAATAGATTCCGAAATAGTCCTACAGGACAGTTTTTTTTAACATCATACGCGGGTGGCATATTTACGTGGACGAAGACGTGGTAAACTCTAGCTTATAGACCACACAGTGCAAGTTTAGGTTAATCTAACGCTCTTTGAATTGATAGAGTCCACTTAAACAAATTGATCGAAAATTTTTGTTCCAATTACAAACATGAATAGCATTTCATATCTAGTATATAAGGTGTAATATTATGATGTGCCAGGACCTCATGAAGTGGACGAGTTAAGAATACTGAACAACTTTTACTATAGGAGCACGAAAAAATAATTAGCTGTTTCATACTGTTGGCGATTGTAGGAATTACAAATTTGTATGAATCAGATGGTATATATTTTTCGTGAATACAGTGTTGCTCCCATCATAAAAGTTGTTCAGTATATTTATGTTATCCACCCTACGAAGACCTGGTACATAATACATTACACTTTATATCATCATCAGCCCTTTTACGTCCCCACTGCAGGGGCTCAGGCCTTCCTTATGGATGGTTAAGGAGGATGGGCCATGACCCTCCACGCTGGCCCAATGCGGATTGGAGGGTATTAACGACTGCAAATGCAGCCGGGACCAACGGCTTAACGTGCCTTCCGAAGCACGGAGTAGCTCGAGATAATAATTTTTTGGTCACCCATCCCGTGACCGACCCTTGTGAAAGTTGCTTTACGATTATTTCTAGACTTGTAATTAGTAATGAATAATTCGGAATTATAAATATTTACTTTACTTACAGAAAAGTACGACGAGATTGTCGATGTTTCCAATGAGCGTGTTGAGGGTCTTCGCAGTGACGTCCTCGATGACGTCCTCTTCGTCACCGGTCGACTTATTGGCGATCAGCCATTCCAACACATCTTCCTCTCTGCTCAACTCCCCTGAAAGTTACATAGGTAAGACTATTAAATTAATTTAGTTTTCTGTATTTCGATTAAGAAACGTTTAATAGCCATTTTTCTTATTTATATTCATAATTATATTCATAACTTTAAAAAAGTGTTAATTAATACTTTCTTAAAAACGGAGGTTTTCTATAGATTATGAAATGATAACCGCCCACTTTATAGTAGTTTCTTGAACAATGAAGTCGCTTTTAAAATGAATATTATTTATCACTTTTTTAAAGTTGAAATAGGTTTAGAAATAAAAATCTTATGTATGAGTAATAATTTTAAGTGATATTAAATTTTTTGTTGAACATACAAGTTCCTCCTTTTGAATTTTTGTTTTTTACCTGATTTGGTGACATTTGGTGAAAAGAATATTTTTCTTTTTTTTTGTATAAAACTACGAATTCGATTTGGATAATATATACATGGGATCATCTCGAGCCCATAAGCTGTCTAATAAAATTTTAAAACAGATTGATAATTAGCGGAGTATTCACGTAACAAACACAAAAACATACAGTCGAATTGAGAACCTCCTCCTTTTGAAGTCGGTTATTAGAGTAAATAAGGACTAATGTCACTTACATATATTTTGCACGGCTATTGTATGTTCATCTAATTGAACTACTACTTTCTTGAAATATATATTGATTAAATTTAAGTACCTACCTATTAACAATCATTTATTAACAATCACAGATTTAATTCAAAATCCAACGAAGGTTAATCTCACAGTTGACTCTTATTCAAGCTTCTATTGTTTAAAATTCAAAAAAGACTTGTGACGCAATTAACGCTATTCACACGAATACTCTGTACGATTTCGTAATATTCACGTCACTGAACGGAGAAATGAGTCACGGACCTTCATAGATAATAGGTATTTGATGCCTGTAGTACACAAGTCTTGGAAGCTCGCCAAGACTGTACTCCTCGGCAAGTTCCTCGTCGTGGATCTTCACGAAACCAATGCCAAGCTGATCTGCCTCGTCGTCGATGTTCTCTAGTTCTTGTAGTGCCTTTGCACATTTCTTGCACTCAGGCTTATCTGAAATATAGCGGAAAATAATAAATTCCGGATCTTCAACTTGCGCCCACGCTACAGGAGTTGAAGCTGTGGTGTTAATCGCAATACTTTAACGAGCCCTATTGGTGCATAATAAGTTTTGTAAGTGTAAAGCGTAACTCCTATGTGTGTATTGAAGCTTGGATCGTGCAAAACTCTTGTGTTAAATAGAAAGTTGAGATGCCAAATGGAATGCGAACATACGTTTCGCAACAAATAAGTATTAAAAAAGCAAAGAATATTTTTCATAACATTACGCCAACATTGGCATGTCAAAAATGTTTATTTGGTGACCTTTACAAGAGTCAAGAACAACAATAAAAAAGTTTAAGTATTAAACAAGGTTCAACAAATGTCACGCATTTTCTAAAATCATCTTTAATTTTCATTTCACACAGGTGAACGCCATCTGATTAAATACTAGAGCTCAAAGCTAAATGAGAAACGGAAAGTATAAATAGGATTGTCTAAATAACTTCTATTTGACAACATGCTGATGTGTGAACGACAGTCTTCCATCAAATATTGGGGTCAAGGTCATCTTGTTGAAAAATATAGAAATTAGGAGTGTTGTTTGTGAAGTTTTTTATTTTGTATAGGTATAGTTACAAAAGAAGATTATTTATTGGTTTTGTAGTTACCTATAGTCGTTAAAGAGAGAAAATGTATGGTTGACAACGTCGTCGCCGTGACAGGTCGGTCCGTCAATCCGAGCTTGCTGGCGGGACGCAAATAGCCCGCCAGAAATAGATAGCCTCACGGCCCGATAATGCAAAAGCGTTTTTGAATCTGGCTTTTCCTTACATCAGATAGATAGTAGCTGTTTCAACAGACATTTTTTTACTAACCTGAGATAACGTTAAGGGGAATGATAATTTTAAGTTATAAAAGATGCGATTGCAAAAACGTGTGAATAAATTTAATACGTCACTAATAAATACATGATTCCAAAACATTATTTCATAGAAATCTCAACAATTTTAAACATCTAATGACTCATATTAACTCATATATAGTTGCATCGATATCTTGCAATAGAGCCAAACAATTAATTAGCTCTATTCGTCATCAATTATATGTCGGGAGCGATGGGAACTGACACTCTGATGAGTATGTATGAATTTACCTTTACTTTGTACATTACTCGTGCAAAGTATTCGCCCATTAAATGTCAAAAAAGGGAACATAAATTCGCTTCCAATCTTTAAAATAATATTAAATTCCGCTCAATAGTAGAGATACAAAAATGAATATCAAAGTTTACCATCATAAAAACAATTAAAACGTGCAACGCTCCTGTAACATACATATATGATTATACAAATAAATACTAATCTACGAAGCAAGAAGAGTTATAGCCAAACTGACATTGAATTAGGATTGGTCATGCCGCCATCTGGATCTCACTTACTGTTTGAGGGACCGCAACTTTTGTGATCAGGACCTACGTCAAAAACACAATCAAAACAAACGGCACAATGTACAAAAGCGCCTGGTCAGATGTAATCTCCACTAATATTTACGATGATTTAGAAAAGTGACAGTATAGACAATTCTAAAAGATAGTTCTACATTAACAGATTGTACTGTTTTAATGTTAGTTTGAAAATGACTCTGAAAAAATGTATTTTATCACAATAGCCAATTAATAATAAAGTAGAAATCAAAACAACTTCAAGGACATACTCACAGAAGAGGACGGCTACGTAGTTGGTGTCTTCAATAATTTTACCCAAGATCTTTTGGTTAACTTCTTCAATTCGGTCAGGAAGATCCATTGCTTCTAAACTCGTCAAGAAATCCAGGACACTTTCTTCGTCCATGAGATCTCCTAAAATCAATAAAGTACATAATATTGTTATGGAAACTTCAATTGGGATTCTTAAGACTTTTTTGAGTTTAAATTAGATATAGCCAAATCAAATGTTGAAGAAACTAAGCAGAGATTGATTTGTTGATAAGCAAATGTAAACCTACGCCTTCAACACATCGATCTTAGTTTCAGAATCCAAACTATACAAACTATTGGAAAGAATTTATCGTTTCCTCAATCATCATTCCTATTGAAATTCCAAGTAGTACTTTGAAAGAGTTATTCAGATTCGGATTTAATTTTTTTAAATTTTTTTTTAGATAGTCGTAACTAACAACAGGGGTTGTCAGAATATCGGTGCTTTTGTGACGTCACCTGTTACAAAATATAATACACTAACATTGCCACCTGCCCTGCAATTCTGTAAAAATCCAAACCCGAATTCGAATTCACTCCGAAAAGCGGCATCCGCTCAACCTTGAATAGATAACAACGTTTCGTGGCATAAGTGAAATGAGTTTCGAAACGACAAAGGAATAGAATATTTGAGACACGTATATTCAAACAATTTTGTTTTGTATTTTTATATAAAAAATGGAATCAATAGAGTTTCTACTCTGAGTGATGTGAATTCGGATACCTAAGCGAAATCGAATTCGGGTCTGGTTTTTTACAGAATCGCAGAGCTGGTTTGCCTCTCGTGTACTACCTCTGCCTTTTTTCTAATGTTGCAATATGTAAAGGCCAACAAAACTTTATTCTTTCTTTTATTTCTAGTGTGATTTTGCCAGTCTAAAGTGGCTTGTTTTTATTGAAACCACAGTAGACAGCTGTTATTATCTCCGCAACAAGGTGGCTTGAGTCCATTGGTTTAGGATCTCTATAAAGCAAAGAGTACCAAGTGCAACCTCAACCTCACAAGATCATCGTCTAGTTTTCTCTAGAAAGGTTTAATATTTTTAATATGCCTACTCGTACAACACAGATACCTACATACGTTTGGTCGAATCCCTTGCGGGTAGGCAGAAATCACGGCCATAATGTTTAGCATATTGCTATTAAATTATCCCGTTATCCCGTGGTAATTAACAAAAAGAATAAAAAAATATATTTCAAAAAATAGAATCGACGTCCAACTTTAAAAAGGAGAGAAATGACACATAACAGCACAACTAGTATAAGTATAGTATAAGTCACAGAACATAGAAAGATATATAAGTATAAGTAAGTATTTAATAAACTGATATTGAGGTTAGGCGGAGATTTTCTGTACGTCATTAATTAAATGATACAAACTTAGATAAGAGTAAATAAAATTGAGCAAAATTGGCGGCTTTATTTATTACGCACTTGAAGCGATTTTTTCTAGGCAACCTGAGGGTTGGAGAAAGAATAACGATTTCTTTCTTCTTGCTATATCTACATATATATATCTATGAAGACAAAGTATTAAATTTACTAATAGGCCAAGTTATGTTATAATGAATGAGAGATACCTTCGTAAATGATCGGCTCCTTCTCACGGAAGTACGTGAGGGCGGGGAACTTCGTGATGCCATACTGCTTCGCGAGCCGTTTGTCGTTGATCTTGACGAAATCAACACCAAACGTATCTGTGTCGTCGTCGATCTTCTCCAGCTCCTCCAACACCTTGTCGCAAGTGACACAACTTCTCGCATCTGAAAAATAATAAATATTAGGTGGTGGTATAGATAAATTGAAATTATTACGAGTAGTTTATCTGTTGTCCCGCGACCGTCCGTGTTAATTATAGCTATAGTTCAGTAATTTCGGAGCCTATACGGTGTAAACAAAAAAAAAACTTTCCTGCTTATAATATTAGTGTAGACAACATCACATACTTTGTTTCGTCCAATAAAATCCTAACGATTTCAATTCAAGATGATGTGCGTAACCATAGCAACGCAATATAGTCCATCGCTCACTTATTTCCAAAATGACTGGGCCTAAATTTTAATAATTCTTTTTTATAAGAAAAATAATCATTTAGGTCTACTTATTTAAATACAGAGAACATAATTCTAAATCAAAACACAGTCTGCTAAAGTAACATTTTGCTAAAATTACTTTCTGAGAAATGACCTTTTGCGAAAATGGCTTAAGTACTGCAATTTTTACGATATGGAATTTCGAGAAAATGACGAACAGCGTCAACAACCTTTACTATTTGTTTGTAATTACTTGCACTTGAGAGAGTTATCTTTCGTTATATATAAGGTCTAGGTACCGCTGGCTTAATAAAACTTAGTGCCCTTAGACAAAACACTGAAACGATGCTCGTAAATAAATTAAAACAAAATAAAAGACTACATGGTGTAGTTACACCGATTAAAGAGTGTAATTTTGTCAATGAAAAGAGAAACTCCATAAGACTGCTCTGAAAATTGTTGTCCTTTTTAATACCGCGGGCATGGGCTTATGTTCAAAGAACAAAAAAAGGTTTTTTTTTTATGTACTGCTCTGCATTTTTAAGGTTCAAATATTTAAAGCAAACGTTATAAATTTGTCACGCCATTCAACCCCAAAATTACGAGTGCCCTAGGCAGTTGCCTATTTGGTCCAAATGGATCAGCCGGCCCTGAAGGTAACTGGTTCAAAAATACAACATCGGCTGAATGTATTCATTGTGGAAGTTATTAAAAGCCGTTTCCATTCTGTTATTGTGAAACGGAATCGTAAAATTAGTAGATGTACTGACTGCAAGCTGAGGAGTGAACCATTCAGTAGATTTACGAGCCAACTACATTTTCACGGTCTAACTCACGTTACGGTTCGATATGTTATTGTTTCACATTTTATTACTTCGGAAAGTCAAAAGTTTACGTGCAAACTCTATGAATATAGCTTTAAACTATTTGTATTATTAGTTTTCTACCTGTTCTGTATTTTGCATATCTGACATCTATTATGTGATATCTACCAATCAAATTTCAATACTATACTAATATGATAAAGAAATAAAATCTATAACTTTGTTTCATTGTAGGAGTACTCTTCGAGAATACTGATCCGATCACAAATAATCTTTTACACTACAAGTCTATACAAGTGTATATTACGCTATAAGTCACGAGATATGCTTGTAGTTAGTTTGTAGGATCAGTCAGAATATAAATAATTAGATACTAAATTTTATTTATATTTGATTTTAACCTCAATAATTTTGTTCCCTTAAGCCTAAAGTTGTGAATGATAAAGAAATTATATTCCATTGTTCGAAAGTATTACTAATTATTGCTTCCAATAAACAAAGAATATTTGACTATAATTTTGAAGCCCCATCAAAACATAAAGTTTATATAATAGTAGTTTTATCAGTCTAGCAGATGATGGATTATATAATACGGCTAAACCTGACAAAACGGTAGGAAGGAAAACTCATTAAGGGTAGAGAGTTGACTGACTACTGGCATATTTTCAAAATAATGACGTCGGAAGTTCGTCACTCGTACAATATAATAAAACTCAGTAAAAAAAAGAAGCCAATATTTCCTTAGCTATAATGGTTTAATTCGTTGGGTTTAAGTAGACAGCGTATAGTGTATAAGTAATTCAATGTGACGTTATGGTATCATCACATAATAGGGAAAAAAAGATTTATGAAATACGTAGGTACTAATGTTGATGACAATGGTTCGACACCTACTTGCAATGTTATTCTGTTAAAGACAGATATTAAAAAGTTCAATCAAATAAAACCTACTTGAAAAGGTAAACTAATACTGCGACGGCACTATGTTTCACACTGTAATTTTACAGAATTCCCTCAAAGCTGAACCCTGAGACAGTTATTTTAAACAACCGATTTTGTTTTGTATGTATTAAATGTTAGTATCAAGAGCACACGAGGCTCGTATTTGTGTTGTTTTATTTACTAGTCGCCACGGCACGCGTTGACGGAATAGGAAACGATAAAAACAATGACATCCATTGGTTCCATTCTGTTAATTTTTCCATTTTTTATTTAATTTCCATTGTCCTAAACCTACTACATATTCAAATGTAATAAAAGTACACAAGTCTCATAACAATTCTTCTGCCGTAAAAATTTATGAAATCAACGTAAACCAAGTCGATTAGTTCAGTACTTCTCTCTGTGAGAGCAACTATCCAACCTTGTCATAGATTTAGGAATACTTCTTGACAAACGCACACACCCAATAATCACATAAGTTCTTTCAAACCAATAAAGCACAGAGCCAATAACTTAGATATTTTTTTTATGTAACATTCTTTTACCATATCTATGTGTTTGCCAAGTTTGAGTCAGTCAGTGACAAAATTAAGTCATTTTGAATTGCAATAATTACTTGAAGCATTAGTTCAAATTTAATGTAATTTGGAAAAGTGCCTCATCGTGTGACGCCCTCCTAGTCACTGAAAATTTAGGCTTCTAGTTTACTCCACAACGCAGTCACAGGGGGTCAATAATGGCCCGAATGGCTTCGAGAAAAGGGTGGTACAGCCATGCCATTTTTACTTTTTTGCTCGACTTGGCGGAGGCACTTCCGTGCCCACAAATTATACTTCTGTATACTATAATCTAATAGTCTATTTCTGTTACTTAATTTATTTGCAGAATTGAAAATGCAATTTGACTGAAACCAAACTAAATTTAGTCTAGTCTAGTATGTGCAACAGAACTGCTACCATTACAATGCCATACCAGCAACGTTAGCAAGTGATAGAGCAAATAATTTATAACTTCATTTTATTTTTAAGGTCTGAATTATACTAATATTATAAATTGGAAAATTTATGTTACTCTTTCATGCAAAAACGAATGAACGGGTTTTCATGAAATTTGGTATACGGATAGTTCTGATCCTGGATTAACAAATAGTGCACTCGACAATTGCATTTGTTCGTGAATGAGGTCAGTCGTCAAATCCAACTTGGTTGGGCAGCGTGGAGAAAGCACACAAGTATCTTCACGTCTTGAATACAACAGTATCTTAAGACGAAGCTTTTTAAATAATGTATCTTTTAAATTTTAGTGATGTCGTAAAGCACTGACACGTCCTGGCTAGCTGTGAGCCTCATAAACAGGCTCAAAGTCACTCTGAGGGCGATGGAGAGGGCTATGTATGACGGTATCGAATCAGAAGAATTATGAGTCTGAAGTGACAATGGGTAAGACACATAATTCGTAAGATACATGGTCGCTGGAGCAGCAAAGTCCTCTTGTGGCAACCAAAGACTGGAACGTTTTCCGGTCTGTGGTCACCACTCGAGGTCTATCTAACTTCTTACGAGCATAGGCAGACCTCTCTCAAGATGGACCGACGATTTATTGTTTTTGGGGGAGGCCTTTGTCCAGTGGACGTTATCCGGCTGGTTTGATGATGAAGTGAATCATATATATCTAATGCACAAAATCCAATAGTTAAGCAATACATTGAAATTTGTTATGGATAATAATGAAGGTTTAGGTTGACAGTTCTACTATAAAAGAACTAAAAAACAAAAGAAGGCAAAATTCACACCGATTGTACACAAAATACGTGATTTTTGTTTTCTTCTACATAAGTTGTCTAAGTATTTTCGTTATCTGACGGAATGTTTAGTTTTTTTTATTAACAACCAATCGTATTTCTATCAAATGTAGATGGGGCTAAGCTTTCGAACAAAACAATTTTGATAATCGTTCTGCAATTCGCAGAGAAATTGGTGAACATATATAATTGATATTCATACATAACCGTTGAAAATACAACTTACTTTTTAATTTTGAAGTCGGGTAAAAATAATCTAAATTTTGGGACAGTCGTTCTGAAATTAGGCGAAAAAGATTTCGGCGATTCGTTTTTATTTACATAGATTTTAATAATATTTCTATGTAATCGAATTGACATAGCAGAATTTTCCAACAATATGTGAAATAAAACACATAAGGTACTAATATAAATTTTTATTCTCTAATTTTTGGATAGATTATGCTGATATACCAACTATGATGGGTACATAAAACTATAAAGTTTGTTTGTAGGGGTTACCCCCTCTTTGGGAATATTGATCTAACAATGAAAATTCCTTTACCTACGGCTACATCATACGCGAGTGATATTGGCTATAATTTATGCGGGTAAAGCCACGGGAAAACAGCTAGAATTAAAATAATGCAAGTAATTTCCTAATTTGATCTCGAAAGGAGAGAAAAACGTAGTAGATGTTATAAAAGTAACGAGTTCGACAAATCTTTCTGAAAATTTTGTGTTACAACAAAAGCGAAATCATATATGATCACAACCTTTGCGCTCCGGAATTAACTGTGACAAATTATATTCCAAGCTTACATTATACTATAACTAACTTTAGGTAACTTTATGTTAATACACGACTGCCCAAAAAAGGTTTAAAGTTAATGTTTGTATGTATGTGAATTTATATTACACAATTGCTTTTGAAAGACTTAATAGATATTAATGTAAAGGATAGCATTAGAAAAGTTATTGGTCACTAAAAGGAATAAAATAAAGTTAAATAATTTAAAAATTAAAAAACGCGACTGCCAAAATCGGACTAAAAATTTCTATTATATCTTAGATAAACAAAGTTCTTATTGCAATCAACGGACTGTTTCAATCTGTTGAATATTAGTAATCAAAGAGGTCCCTCGACTGCAATGAAAATTTCGTTTAGCTCAGACACAGATACA